AGAAAAATAAAGCGATTAGAGCCAGTCAGTTCTGAGTATAGATGGATGGAAAGATATGTATGATCTTTTTTTTTTTTTTTTTTTTTTTATTTTTTTTTTTTTTTTTTTAAATATTTTAAATAAAAATTTTTTTTTTTTTTTTTTTTTTTAATTTTTTTTTTTTTTTTTTTTTTTTTTTTTTTTTTTTTTTTTTTGCAAAGGTAATGATGCTGAAATTCCCCTTTCTAGTTGTATACGTTCATTGTATGTAAAAACAAAAACAAAGAATGAAAACAATTCCAAAAATCTCCATCATTCCTTTATAACAGATACCCGGTAGTGCCTGGTTCTTTCTAACATACTGCTACCCCCATCTCTGTCACAGCTTCAGCTGTCGCTGACAGGCTATATCAAAATGCGCAATCCATCTGCTCCAAGTTGAAATTAATGGTTACCATTATAAAGATACAGTAAAAACACCAAGAACGATACATTCGATGGTTGTATAAAAGAATCTATATCCACCGTCAACCTAGCAGGAATACTCCATTATCACCGACACCTTACCATTTTACGATTTCATAAAGACAAGCTCGTTCCATTCCCTAATACCATTTATATTTCATAACATCCGGAATTCAACCTAAAAACAAAATTACGTGACATTGTCTCGGGAATGGATTTAGATGTACTTGAATCAAGTTTTAAACGTTAAATCGATCAATAATGGCGGCGCAAAATGATGTAAAGTGAAATGGGCACATTGTTGTTTTCGCACGATGCTCAATAAGCTATATGTGAGGTGTTCAGAACGATGTCCCTGAAATGCTTATATCTTTTGTTATTCATTGTTATTGTTATTATTATCATTATTTTGCGCAATCTACCTATCGTATTCCCTACCACGTACAACTCCAACAAAACACTTTAATACACCTGTCACGCCCTCCGTCAATAACGTTGTACAATTTTTGGCTTTTTGGCAATATCAAGAACTATTTACTCGGATACATCTTTAGGTCACACCAGGCCCTTCTACAGCATGGAATAAACCATACAGAATATCTGATATATCCAATAATATTGTAGTCACCAAGATATTTTGAGTCACTTTGGTACTGTATAGTAATGGGGAAAGGAGAAAGGTAATTAAATTAGAAATTAAGAGCTCAGTTACTAAATACATGTTAATCGCGCATTATTTTCCTTTAAACAATGTATCGTTCTAAAGGCAAATTTAATCACACAGGTTATGGTTAGCTTGTCATAAGTGGGTTCAAAATTTAGGCCGATGCTTACCTGTCCAAATTAATGGGAACCGGACTCTTTTTCGGGGGGGGGGGGGGGGTTGACGCTTTATCACGTCACACAGGTCTATCAGTAGATGGTAGTCAAGAAGGATTACTGTTTGAGCTACAATTGTAGCATACTTCGACGATAACTAACATTTGTGATCTAAGACCCCATTCCACAGATTTTAGATCGATCTATCCCTATGGGGAGTCTCACTAGATTACTGTCAGCTTAGCCGACTTAAATGTTTGTCCCGACTACTAAAAGCTGTAAGGAGGTAATTAACTACCGCGCGCGCTCGTCTTACAGCAATTTACCGTGAACCCCCAGGGAGTTAGGTCGATCTACATGGATCTATCTTAATCTATGGAAATGCAGTCTAAAGCGTTTCGATTAATGTCATAGTAATCAGGGAGTGAAAAGTCTAGCATAAATCCATCGGACTTTGTACAGCATATGTAGCAGTGTACCAGTGTGGATGCTGTTCAGTGATGTATGGTGGGTTTTTGAACACTTTTGAAACAGTTGCCATGCCGCCAGATAGACTTCCTTTATAGCCCTCTACTTCTGCACACACTGGACAATGGAAGTGTCACCCCCTGAATCAGAGTAATCAAAGTTATAATGCCTGGTCTACTTATGATGTGACTAATGAGTATGAAACCACTTCACCATGGAATTGTATCGTTGGTCTTTTTGTGAAATTTGATGTTAATAAAATGATACCAGGAGCATATCATTCCACAGTCATTTATCTCCCCCAAAGTATTGGTTCAGTAGGGGTGACACTTCTATTGTCCAGTGTGTATCTTCGACTTGATTTAACTGTCCGGAAGTACAGGTATCAAAACTTAAGTAAAGAAAAATCAATACACATGCCTGCGTCCTGTAACGATGTTCACTTTAATGATGGAATTAGGGATAATTAAGCTGGACGATCCTAATTGGTTTAGTATTTCTTGTTAAATATACTGTATAGAGCAATTAACTGTCATAACCTCGGCATATGTTGTGTTTCTGTAGTGTTATTGTTACGTGTGTAAGGATATCACTCATTTATAAGGCATGTGCGTGGTTTCCCACTGGCGGTGTTTTGATGACATTGTAATGTCTTCTTAATGAATCATATCGAGCAAAACCCCATTAACGCCAGAATTATTCCTGCATATGTCCTTAGGGAACCAATTAGTGTCAACTAAAGGCAGAGGAATCAGGAACATTATGACTTTGAATAAACATTCATGAATAAATAAAGCAAAATTGTGATTTTCCGGAAATTTTTATCACTTTCCCTTCAATCAAAAAGGTATGCCGTATCCAGAGCCGGTTTCAAATTGTCGATCCATTATCCCATGTTTGAGTTCTAGGTTTTTAACATTTGAGTTATTCTGGAAATAAAGAAGTACTGGTAGTCTAATGAAATGACGATGGATTAAAAAATATAACTGAATACGAGTTTTTGCTACCGTGTACGGTGTCAACGGGACTTTTTATCAGTTGCTTTTCATCTGCTGATGGATCTCCAGAGTATAGGGTCTTGCTAAAAGGGGGAGGGCACCAAAAAGTCAAACCAAAACAGTAGTGGAGAGCTATTTGAAAATGTTGTTTGGATTTGTCTCGTTGTATTGTTTATTCTGTTTTTGGAGAGGTGGCCGTGATGTTATTGCTATTATTATTATTATTATTATTATTATTTCCAGCGAAATCGGATTCAAGCCTTTGTGAGTTAAGGTTCATGCACTCTAAGTCTCGAACTTTGTAATTATAGAGAGCCTCATGCCCACCCCAAATTTTATCTGTTCTTACTTTTTATTTTATTTTCTTCTATTTATTTAATTATTCATTCATTCATTTTTGAACGTATGTACTGATTAAACATATAATTCACCACTTGTTTTGGTAGGTTTTTCCATCGATTTGCTACTCTCACAGTAAAACATTATCATTCTTTTTCTTCTTATTCTTCTTATTTAACAAAATTTTATACTGTACTTTCAGTTGTAATCTGCCAAGAAAACGAGCTTCAAAACATCACAAACGTGAACACGGTAATCTATACAGAACCAACCGTATATAACACGTTGGTTACATATTATTGCAAGAATGGAACAGTTTTCCCGGAAGGTGGAACGAAAAGGATCGGTAGATGCTCCGACTCGGGTCAATGGGTTCCGAATATCAAAGCATGTGGAGGTAAATCTTATGTTTAATGCTATTTAGATTGTTTTTTTCTTTATGTATATGATATAAGACCAAATATTCCGGACAGTGTAATTTGTAGATAACACAGATTTTAACTTATAAGTCCATTTTATTCAAAACAACCTTGGCATTTTGGCGTTTACGAGAACAATGCAGTTGTTTTAATTGGATAAAAGGAACTAACACACATACAAACAGACAAAGCACATGGTAAAAAGAGAGTCAAAGAGACCGAACCAGACATTTTTATTCCTTATACAGCCACTGGAAGCACTTTGCCAAAGGCCAGCGTCGGGTCGACTCCTCCCCTTGAAGCCGAGGGAGCAGAATACATCGGCTCTTTCGCCATTATTATCCTTGTGGCAGTTTGCGGCACGATCGTGTTACTGGACCTGTTAACTTTGCAAAGACATCTACGCTATTTGCATAGGAACGTTCGACATACAGAATGGTTCCGCAGATGTTTTGGAAAGAAAGCTAAGAAACGTAAAACAATGGCTTATGAAAAAACAGCGGTTCCGAAGAAAAAAACTTGATGAAATGAAAGAGCGATATATATACAAGTAGCTGCAGGCCGACATGAATACCTAAATTCTTAAATTATCCGATATTTCATTATACTTCATTATAACCTAAGACATGACAAACGAACGACCCCTAAATTTAACGCGAGAGGACAGACTTCGAGCAGATATAGCGAAATATTCATTCCGTAATTAATAGTACACATGCATGTACGCCACACGGCTGATATTTTCATTCACAGTATCATCTAGGGAAGGACTCCATTTTGAAATAAGATACCAGGGGAACTTTAAATTTCCAGCTAAAAAAACTTTGCTTAAAAGGGGAAAATATGAAAAAATGACATCCCTAAAGAGGAAAAAAAAGCTGCACGTATAAATGTGACATAAGACTATATAAAGGATGAATATCAATCTAATTTATTTGCCACGTACAGAATTATCTATACAATGTAATCTATTTCTTGTGAGGACCAGGAGTGCACCTCTCTCTCCCTCTCGTTTATTTCTTATCATTGTTTTTCATCCAATAACTGTGATATTTTCTACATTTTTTCTTTTTTATTAGTTAAACATAAAAACAGATCATATGCAAATCCTATGTTAATTTATTATCGCACAATATCCACGAAGATATAAAAGTAAAAATAAAGAAGAAGAAGAACATCAAATATACTGGTAAGTGCAAGTTCATCTGCCGTGCGATTGTTATATTAACACACATAAGTTTATCAGTAGTAAAAAAACCTCTTTGCATTGTTTGTGGATACACATTTACATTTTCTAGAGATTTCAACTCCAATAAAATAAAATTTTACCAAAGATGCGATTGGTCATTCATGCATATGGAAATCATGTCAAAGATTAGTCTCTATATTTTTCTCTCAGTTCTGAGTAACGCTTGCCAAAATACATCTTGACAAGAACCGTGGACGTACTTTTGTGCACAAGTTTCACATTTGATTCCAGATTTGTTTCTTATATAACTCTCAATCTTGATAAATGCTCCAATTATGTATAAGTTAAATGGATATTCATAAACATCAATCCACACGTACAGTTTACATTTTGTTCAATGTTGTCACAAAAACAAAAATGAAAAACTTCATATTATTTCCCTGAGATACTACAAAGCATGTGCCAGCTTCAGACGCTAATCTGCCTCACCGTTTAAATACATTATAATCAAATGATTCAATTAATTAAATTTTCCATCGAACAAGTAAGTAATCACCCGTCCTTTGGAAATCACAGTAGTTTGGACGGGTTGTTTTGCAGCTGAATGTTGTTGTCAGTTATTTCTCTAAATGTTTGCCAGCATTATCGGCGGATTATTTTTCGTCTTTATGATTGAATATCCCGGAAGCCGCAGTCCGTAACTTTTTGATATGATGTCAGACGCTGGAATAGATTCATGCAACCATCAAGTCAAATGTCATCCAACGTAGACGACTTCCATTGAAATTTCACCTAGCGTAGACGACTTCCATTGAAATTTCATCTAGCGTAGATGACTTCCATTGAAATTTCACCTAGCGTAGACGACTTCCATTGAAATTTCA